TTTGCACAGAAAGATTGCTTTTGTCATCAAATTCTATAACCCACAAATGGTCACATTCCTTCTGGAAAACACTTTCGCAATTATGCTTAATTTACATGCGCATTTTGGTGTCGTAATCAGATTACGTGCCTTGTTTAGCTCTCCGACGCACAAATATGCTTTTGAAATAAAATATTTTCCTGTTTTTTTTTTTATCTGACTTAACAGTTGTGGTCAACAGTTACTTTCTTTCCTCCTCCTAGTTGCAGCAAGTGCCAAACCGGACAGCCATCGCAAAGACGTCTGCTTGGTTCGTAATTTTTTTCCAGACAAATCTAGGTATCAATAGATACGTACATGATCCATTTCGATGTTTTACCGCCAATTTCAATAATGGAGGCTGAGCAAAACTTTTGTTTAGAGGGGAGCACTTCATTGAACAGGTTTTTGCGATTAGGCCTACACATTTCATTTTGTTTCCCTGGTTGGTCCATGTCATCACGTTTCTTGCTAAAGTGGATGTTTTGTTAGTAGGGTTTGCATTTCTGTCATCATGTGTATAGAGAATGTAACCGAAAATTGCGGACAAACTTTGGGCATGAGTTCCAGATATCAAAACATGGAAAAATTTCTGTATCAACATGTTCCCAGGAAGAAAAATACCGTATTTACGCATGTATAGGCCGCACATTTTTTGCCAGAAATTCAAGAGGAAAACTGGGGTGCGGCTTATATTCGAAATATTCGAAATCACACTTCATTTAAAAAAAATATTCATAATTAGAAATACAGGGTGTAATACTCCTGAAATAATACTCCAAGAAAATTATTTTTTCTATAATTTCTGTCTGAAAATTGTGCTGCGGCCTATACATGCATAAATACGGTACGTTACAGCTGAAAGAGTACATTTACAATAACTCCTCAAAATTCCCTCCATGTTGACAGGGATGCAGGTGTCAGCATCAGACAAGCGGGCACACGACCATTTCGAGGTTACTGCATGAACCATTTATGAGTACAGAGTCTCATTTCTGTTGATCTTCCAGTGCTACAGAATATCCGTTAGTGTTTTGTTCAACGAAATGCTGAGCATTTTTTTGTTTCATCAGTGCTCTTTAGAGACGAGGCACGTTTCGGCAGAGATGACATCATAAATATTCACAACCAACACCAGTGGGAAGAGGATAATTCTCTAGACGCCAGCAGCAGTTCAGCATTAATGTGTGTGGGCAGGGATTGTTGTTGATTATTTGGTAGGTCCGCATGTTTTACCACATCGGCTTACAGGCAACCACTACCGAGATCTCCTCTCACATGTCTGTCAAGCTACTGGAAGACGTACCGGTCGCTGTCAGAGCACGAATGTGGTACATGCATGATGGCGCTCCGGAACAGTTTAGCCCTGTTGCGCGAGATGTTCTCAGTAACACCTATCATGACCGATTGATAGGTAAAGGAGGACCAGCTGCATGGCCTCCACACTCGCCAAATTTCAGTCCTCTCGAATTTTACCAGTGAGGACACCAAAATCCCTTGTGTATGCCGCTCTTGTTGACAACGAAGAGGCACTTAACCGTCGCATTTCGGACGCCTGTCAGACTATCCGCAGCTACCCCGGCATATTTTTATGAACGCGGCTGTGCATGCCGAGGTGTGTCGAGGCGTGTATTGAATATTATGGAAGACACTTTGAGCACCTACAACAAATGTACTCTTTCTTCTGTAATTCGCAAAATAAATGTTTCCAGACACATGTTGATACGGACTTTTTTTTTGTATAAGGAACTAGTGTCCGAAGTTTGTACGCATCTTTCAGTTACGCCTTATATATAGTCTGTATAAATGCATTATCATCTAAGATACATAATCAGTAACCTATTGCTCGTATACTTCCGTAATTTTCTCAAAATGTTACATCAGTATATTTAAAGCATCAAAATTTATGTAATTAATTTCACAACTTTAATACAATTCTTGTTATTCAATTCAATTCTTTATTATTTATGTGCCGAGTCAACAGCCGCAAGGCCAATTACAGACAGAGCACAGTGTAGATAAAAGTAATTACATTATAGACAGACACACTATAAAGTCAAAGACAAATTACAGGCAAGCACTGGGGAAAACACAATAATGTAGAAAAGTAAACAAACAAACAAATGATAATAATAGTAATAATAATAATTTCATTAATATAAATCTAAATGTTATTAAGAGGTGAGAAATGAAACATATAAATATTTAATTAAGAAATGAAAAGTATAGATTTATGGTGCTCATAATAAATTTCAAGAAGGACGTCATTTGCAGTGTTATGCGAAATATTTATAAGACGGAGTGATATTAAGAGACAAATATCAAAACACTCGTCAATCTCATGATTCCGAAGGATTACATCATGGCATTTTAATAATTTAACTCAGTGTAATTTATTAAAGAGCTCAGCAACAGCAAAATGCAAGTGACAGCTGAAAAAGGAGAGAGTGTGTGAAAAAAAGCAGATAGTTCTGTGAAATGTAATATGAATTGAAGATGATAAGGGAAAGTGTCAAAATGGATTGATTGAAACCTGTAGCGTCTACACAAGAGCAATGCAATACATTAAGTGACTCTAAGCAAAACCGGACATTGAAACGCGGAAAACAGGGGAACCCATAAAATAATAATAATAAAAAAAACATATTGGAAAATAACAGTATACAACAACACACCGAATGACTCCAAACAACACAACTGCTTCATGGGAGAATTAACTGGNATATATATATATAAAGAGTAGTGGCTTTAATTTCGACGAAATGCTGAAAATCTAATACATTAGTAATAATACTGTGACATTGTATATATCCATACAGAATGCAGTTAAATATTTTAAGAATAAGTTATTCCTGTATATCTGCCTGATGATGGTTTTCATAAACCGACATGTGTAGCAAGGTACCACTAAATCAATAATCTCACAATGCGTAGTTAACGTGAGCGATATTTTGAAGGTTTTTGTGTTGTGACGGATAAACAAACAAAATTAGTATAAGTTAAAACAACCGTATGAATTCTTTGACGAGAATAAAAGATTTTCCTTTATTTGTACGGCTATTCAAAATGTTCTTGTGTGTTCATTAACGGGAAAACATCTGCACACAACACGCATTGGCAGACTCTAAGAAGAAAAGTCTACACAAGAAAATGGAACTATTAAATAATTTAGAAATTGATAACGTGCTCCAAGATGGGAGGAAAGCAATAGGATACAGATTTATGGGGAGAAAAATTATTGACATAAAAACCTCAACGTTAGCCAATGGAAGCTTAGAAATAGAATTTTAGCGTCTAACCGTAATTTACAGTGGTCAGAGGTAACGAGTAAGAATTTTTTTAAGTGTACAGGAACCGGCTCATCTCCTTGCAACGACATTTTAACAAATATAAATATAAAATAATTAATAGGTATGTTACAGCCATAAAATTTACAAAATTTCTATAAGAGATAAAATTCCTATCAAATATCTATAATTTTATTATTTTTATTAAATTTGTATAATTAGATCTGAACATATTTTAGCAACATGTTATGATCAACAGATAGCCTATCTAAATGTATTTTAACGAAACACCTTTATTATTAAAAACTTATATAACCTTAATATTTTGAATAATTATATTGGTCCCTTTTTAAGTAAATAAAATATTCAACAAATATTTAAATAAATTTCTTAAAATCAGTAGGTTTACTTACCCATTTCCTTTTGGTTTAAAATTAAATTATCAGGTTTTGAGGAAATCAGTTATAAATAAAACCTTTCATACACGAAGCACAGAATCTATGACAGAAGTTATACATACCACAATCAATCCATAGAGGGCCGTCTGGATTATATGTGCCATTTATTGTAATACAAAACAAAATAAGAAGTGAAGAATGCCGTGTTCTGGGCTGTGGTGCCGTGTAGATATTGTGTTAACCGATGTTTCGGAGGAACGTGTCTCCTTCATCTTCAGGGTATAAGAAATCCGCGAGCGAGGAACCAGCGTGAGCAGGTGGCTGCAGACACATTATCTACACGGTGCCACATCCAAAAAGACGACATTCTACGTAGTCACGGCCTTGGAAACCTCAAACCTCACAAAGTAAGAAGCATTAAGTTAATTCCCGCCATATTGTGAGAGCGTTCGTATTTCGGCTTAGATAAATCAGGACATTGCAAAAGAAATTAGGGAATTGAGACATAACATAGAAATTCGGTTTCGTTAACGTCCCTGTGTACAGTCTCTCTTCTATTCGGCGGATTTTGTGAAATATGAGAACGGATCCAGTGTAAATTCAGATTTATGTAGATCCATAGGATCTCGAATTATCAGATGACTCAGCATAAAAATCTCTTTTATTTACTTGTCTCGAAAATCTAAAGTTTCTGAGAAAATTGCGTTGTGCATGGAATGTGTGATTGTCATTCCGTGATTTATGTTCTTTGCTTTATGGGATATCGATTTAGCGGGATTGAATAACTAACACATACCACTTCTTAATTTCATAGTTCAGTTCCAAATTTCAAAGCGATTACGAAATCAGCATTAGGCAGGGTAGCAGACGATTGCGTGGCGTTGAAGCCAATAGAAGTTGTATTTACATAACTTCGGGCAAAGTTTATATAAAATCTGAAATAAAATTACCCTTAAAATAAAATAGCAAACCAAGGAAAATATTTTAGATAAATAACACCGGTTTTCTACTGTTGCTTGTTGCGGACGACATAGAAAACACAGCCTCCTCTATTGTTGTGTAACCTAGCAACGGACTGTTTGTCAAGAATTTGTCTTCGCGGGAACTCGTTTACCAATATGTTGCATAGCAATGGCTGTACATGTAACAGTATGCTGCAAAACAGGCCTACGAACATTGCTCTACTTACACAAACTTATTAATAATAGTTTCCCATATTTACAACTTTATGTAGAAGAATGTAAGCAAATGTTCCTCCTGTTGAATTCTTATTTCGTGCTGTGTGTTCAAATTGCAGGCCTATACCTTTACATGCTGGTGGTGGAGACTTTCACTGGAGAAAATATAAAACTACGTTTCTACGTCGTCCTTGGCTGGGGTAAGTAATCTACTTACTTCCTTTATAAGAAATTTGATTCTTAAAATTGCATTAATGAAGTTGAACTAAATTATAAGTTTCATTCAAAATATGATAAACCTGTTGACTGCTGAAGATAGTGCATATAGGGTGTAAATAAATATATGTTACAACGCTCTGTGGTAGATGGATGGGTTCAATCTGATTATATTTTGTCGAAAACACTTTGTTTACGCGCTAGGGCCTCTGAAATGTGAAGGAGGACTCCTTTACCTCTTACCTCTGCGGTTTACTGGTGACATTTACCTAACATTTCTCCAAGAGACCTTACCCGAGCTGCTGGAAGTGGTGACTTTGGAAGTCAGTCGTGAAATGTGGTTCCAGCATGATGGCGCCCCGGCGCACTGTACTAATGTCCTCGAGTATTTGGATGAACCTTTGGAAATAGATGAGGTCATTGAATGTTTTTCAATTTACCAAATTCTTCCAGCCGCACTATAGCCCTGGGGTCGACACAGCCTCTAATACAAATGAGTACCAGGAATATTCTTTGGGGGTAAAAAGCGGTCGGGGCGTAAGGCTGACAACCTTACCGCCATCTATGAGCCGATTGTCTAGAAAATGATGGAACTTCAACATTTCACAACCTTGTGGGTCTCCAGGGCCTGTTACAGGGATACCTTTACTGTTTTTTACTTTTACTTACCTTTGGAAACAGATGGATTGGAAGTGGAGGCCCAGTAACCTGGCCCTCCCTCGGTTCTCTGACTTGACTCCACTGGATTTCTCTCTCTGGGGGTACATGCAAAGCCTGGTGTACGAGACCCCAGTGGAGACACAACCTGATCTTGTGACAAGGATTGCAGGAGCAGCTGGAACCATCCGGGAAATGCAGGGAATCTTTCAAAGAGTTCAGCAGAACATGAAGTCGGCGACCGCCATTTTGAGCAACTTTTATAATGTAAAACAACGATGACATCCCCCAAAACTTTTGAATCCTATCGGAAAATTTTTGACATTTAGTGCCAAAAGGCACAAAATACGTATGTATTATCAAATTGAACCCATCCATCTACCACAGTGCGTTGTAACATATATTTATTTACACTCTGTATATTATATTGCTTGCGGAATGTAAATAAGTTGACTATTTCGATGATGCTACTTGTACATCCTCTTCTTCTTCTTCTTTAGCTTTTCAGCCCCTGGCCTATTTCCATTCAGGATTATCTCCGAAACTACGGACATTGCAAAAAATCAATAGAACTCCTTCAACCAGTAATCGGCTGATCCCAAAGCCTCGTACACAGAAAAGGGGGCCATACTTTCATTGTCTAGAACTGAAACACATGCACAAACTGCACATTCAGAAGTATCCCACTGCAGTAATACGAAGGGACCTTAGTACATACAACATTGGCCGCGCCATAGCTCAAGCGGTTACTCGCTGGCTTCCCATCGCGGCGGCCCGGGTTCCATCCCGGGTCTGGTCAAGTGGGATTTGTGGTGGACAAAGTGACACTGGGGCGGGTTTTCTCATACTTCGGTTTCCCCTGCCAATCCTCATTCTACCAAATTCTCCTTCATCATAATCACCCGGGGCAGGCTACAATAGGCCAATCAGTTGCCGCCGTGCCGAGTGGACTCAGTTGGACTCCACCCCCCACTAAGCAAATTAAAAAAATTAATTAACTACATGACCATATATCTCTGAAGAGAGCATCTCTCAATAATCACCGCTGCAAGAATCACATATTCTACTTGTTAGAGACATTTTCGAATATTAAGCAAAAACAAAATAGAAGGAAGAAACAAAAGGAGGAACCAAGAAAATGAAGACTGCTAGATGAAAGAAAAAAGGATGAAGTAAATAATGATAAAAATTATGGTGAATGTATGTGCAGAATGAATTGCTTACTTTTGATGTGCCATTTACACATACAAATCGGCAAAAAAGGTCTATTGTGGAATATAATATTATCACGTGTTCAGGGTTCCGTGACTAATAATAACGGGTTCTGGGTAGGATGGTTGGATTTATTAACACCTTATGCAATCAACTCGCACTTGCAAGCAATACAGAGCTATCGCTGATTTACACAATTTACAGTTCACCGTTACACACGCACTAGGATTCTCAGTCTTCACTAGTCGTACCCTGGTAACGGAAGTAAAACAGTCTTATTGTGACTAAATCTTCCAGACTGACGTCTAATTCATCTTTGACTACTAACTTCCACCGGCTATCTCCTATCGACAACTGATTCCCTTGTATAATCTCGGCACGGACCACGCAGCACAGAATATATTGTTGTATAGGCGCGTTACCATACAGTTGAGTAACAAACAGTTTCAGCACGGACCTACAGAAAAACATGTCTGCATCGCCTATTCTATTGTTGTGTGGCGCCACCGTGTCACGTATTGTGACACCTCCATTGTTGCGTGCGGCCATTACCTAGCAACGGCTGTTTATCAAGAACCTGTTTCCGCTGGTACATGTTTATGAAGCCGTTGCCTAGCAATGGGTATATACGTCACAATATCTAGAAGTACTAATATTAAGCCAAAATTTGTCTGAAAATGATCGATGTTCCTTTATGTAGACGTTTTACTATATTACGAACACTTAAACATAATATACACGTACATAAATAAAAAATAATACTTTGAAAATATACATTTTATGTATATAGCTTTAAGTTTGTAGGGGTTGAAAGATAAGCAGAACTTAGCTGAATGTTATGCAAGGCTTGAGCTGCTCAACACACGTTGTCTTCGTAATGTATTGAAGGAACTGGGCTTCCCACGCAGTGACTTTATGTAATGGATTCATCCTTCCCACAAGAGAATTATATTTTCACCTCTATCCTTTCTGCTTACTTGCACTTTGGCCTCATTCTAAGCTAATGTGTTCATGTACAGACTTCACAATAATGCAACAGGATTCATACTTTAACCTTTTAAAGCCCAGTGGATCCTATATGTACCAGATGCTATAGTGCATTAATATTCTGCATTCCGGACAAAGATTGTATTTGGATTTTTCGCATGGTTCTCACAATAAAGAGTGATTCTTGCTCTAAACACTAATAATCAGTTGATGTTTGATCTTTGCAGCAGCCTTTAAAAGGTCATATTATCTGACACGTCAGTTACAAAGAAGCCTGTGAAGCAACCCCAAAAGTAACGTAAATTTACTGCCGTTTTACATACGCCACAATAATTTTCGCGGAACATAGTTTCATATAGTAATTCTTCGAAATTCGATTGAAATTAACGCTTCCAACGGGCTGTTTCTGTTTGGTATCAATGTGTCACAAATATGCCCACATGATTTGCGGCTCTGATTCCTATCCATATTGTAGTGTTTCGAAAATTTATGCATTCATTCTCAGAATCAGTTAGTGAAAGTAAAGTCGGTACCAGCTTGTAGTGTGCACCGATGAGGGAATATAACGTATATTACCTCGATTTGTAAGTCTCTGTTGAAAGAAATATGTGTCTTAGTGCTTCTCATTAATATGCATTATGTTTTTGTCACGCGTTCGGGTTACGAGTGACGAAAATAATGGGTTCTAGTTCGGATGATTAGATTTATTGGCACTTCAGTTAAAATCTCTCTCTTAATTGCAATTAATAACGCGCTATCGTTGATTTACACAATTTCCAGTTGACCGTTGCAAACACATTTTCAGTTTCCACTAGTCGTCTCCTAGCAATGGATCTCACCACAGGAACTATCACTTCAACTCACTATGAAGTTTTATTTTCAGACACTCTCTACTCCTCTGTCCTAATCTGTACTCAGTTAATCTTCACAGTTCACTAAGGACACGCTCCATTCTCGTCCTTGTACTCTCAATTGCTCATATCTTCTGAATTCACTTTTCCTATAAACACTCTGCACAGACCTCACAGAAAACATAACCCGTACTGTTGATGACGTCACCGCGTTGCATAGCACGGTCCGATACTCGGAAATACGTTTACCAAGCCGTTGTCTAGAAACGGATTGCATAACCCTGTTTTTCAACTGTTTCGTGCGTGTATTACTTAGCAACAGCTGTTTCTGTGGCTCAGAAGTTCTTGCAAGGAGTAAATACGCCACATTATATTCAACTCAGTATACTTTACTTTAATCTCTATTATGATTCTCTGTCAGCTTCACGCCCCCGACGCTTTACCCTCGTGGAAAGAGCCCGTGGTACCCATTGGATAGGAGGCTGGGTGATCGAGATCAAGAAAACGTGGGTCTATACGTGCATTCCCCCATACGTCTTCTGGGAGTAGTGCTTCATTAGTTAAGCATAGAGACAACTTTGCCTCACCTTTATGATTCTTTGTTGTTTTAGGGGCTCCTGTCGTGATTGTCATCTTGTGGGCGATTGTGAAGAGTTTCGCGCCTATACCAACGGAGCCACAAGTGAGTACCTGTACTCTTTATGGGTTACTTTACAAAGCTGTTAGTAGCTATACTATATAGAGTCCTGACCTGATCGAGACTCTCTCCCCTTATTTACTTAGAGGGACTGAAGAAAATCATGATAGCCAACGGCCCGGCGATATTAATACTTAGGTTTAAATCCGCGAGTCATACCTTTCAATGCTTAAGGATGACTATTTCAAGTAAAGTCACTGATCATTTCTGAACAAAAAGGAGCACGAGGGCTGCTATCAAGCGAACTGCAAATACATGCTATTTGCACGATCTGCATTCGTGTTCATGAGTCCGTATAGCGATCGGTTCGATTCCTGGCAAGGGTAAGGTTTTTCTCTTCTCTCCAATTTCCAGACCGACCCTGGGGCCCACCCAGCCTCCTATTCAATGATTACCTGGTCTATTTCTCAGGGGGTAAAGCCGCCTGAGCATGAAGCTGACCACTCACCTCCATCTTTTGCCGAGGCCACGAATGGTGGATCTATACCTTCACTTCCCCATATGTCTTCATGGCATAGTGTTTAATTAATTAAGTTCAGGGTCTCCTTTGCCTTATGTATATGTTCGAAAATATGTACCATTGTTCATTGTTGCTTGTTAACTGGCCGACTTATGAAACGTATGTTTAACTTAAGGATTCTGGGAAATTCACTCCCCTCGGTTTATCTCAAGAAGCATAATGCTCTGGGGAAAAGTTACAAATATTGGACCTAAGGCATTGTTTTGATTTGTCTCTGTAACGTTTTACACTCAATACGCGCGTTACCTGCGCAAAAGCACGTATAGGTCTACACGTAAAGAATTCGACTTTCCGATGTCAACGACTACTGAAAGAGACTGACAGTTCTTTGCAAGAATCTTCTATAAAATTTTAATCAAAATCGGTGTATATAAGTTCTCGAGTCTTTCACGCGAAGGAGCGGACGGACAGACGGACGGAGCGATCCGCAGGAATGAGAACGTGCATAATAACTTTAGTCAGGAATTAATACCGAGAACTTTCTGACGGCTTTGAAGATTAATTTCGAGTTTTACTGCTCGAATAGCAGGGGGGGGGGATTTTTGACCCAATATTAAGGGAACTTGAAACAAGATACGTACAACCCGTCACGTTAAGCTTCACTCCATTCAGTATTCTCCAGATAAAGAATGCGAGTCTCAGTTTTGATATGGTCACGTGTATGAGTGACTGTACATCGGGTTTAGATTGGTAACTAAATTTGCTGACAACTTAGAGATCGCAGCTACAAGTAACTATAGCGCTATCGATATTTCACGCACTCTGCAGTTCACTACAGCACGTGCTATATCTTCTCAGTCTGCTGTGTCTTCACCGGTTGTCGCCTGGTAACGCCTTCCAACGCAGTAGCTTCCTCAGTTTCCGTGTTTACGCTCACTGGCTGGCGGCTGTCTCACAACTAACTCGGACTCTTCTTACTGCCATCTCAAGACTCTCTCTTAATCGCAGCTGTTTCTCATTATACAGTCTCGGTACGGACCGCATAGGAAACATCTCTCCCAACATTTACTTTATCGTTACGCCATATAGCTTTTGCATGGACTACGTAGAGAACATCGCTTCCCAGTTACTCCAATTTTGCCCAGCAACGGGCGTGTTTTCAAAGCCTCTCCCTAGCAACGGCTGTTTCTACTGACCTTACAGTTCTTGCCACAATATCGTAAGCGCGTTTATTGCATTATTCATTTTCTTCCAAGTTTCATTCGTATGAGAATCTTGAAATTAAATTAATCACAGTTGTCTTTCTGGTGTTTAAACGAAACTATGGTCATTGTTGTTGTCTGCTTTTAAATCCATTCTTAATATTGAATTATGTAATGTCACTTGTGTATAAGTAACCCCAGTTTCAAATTATTTTACATTCCCTAATCAAGTCACTTACTCCAATGTAGCAGCATCTCTGTAGACCACGAACTTTGCTATTTTGATGGAGTTAATGGGCCGAAGTTAGATATAATTACAGAGGGGGCTCTCGACACCATTTCTCGTCCTTATCATGGAAATTATCTCGTCCTGGTACGGTATACATACTCCATTAAACAACTGTGCTCATGTAATAGAAAGAAATGCCATGTACAAGTATCAGGTGAATTGAATGCGTTTTATCTGTAACATTCAATCGCTTTCCGAGGCCGTTATCTGTTAGTTCCCTTGCATTGAGTGAACACTCAAAATAATACATAAGCAATGAACACTTCTCAGATAATCCGTTGCATCAGTATGAAGCAAACTTCTGACGTTGCATGGAGTGTCTATACGTCCTCGTCAGAGAGTAATATTGCCACGTGTAAGGGTGACTGTTAGACGGGATTTTGGATTGGATGATTGGACTTATTGTCACCTTATACACACCACTCGAAACTACAGTCAGTTACAAGTAATACCGCCAATCTGTGCACTTTACAGTTCACTGATGCGAATACTAGTGTCCCGTGTCTGTTTCCTGACAGCGGAATTCAACACAGGAAATATAACAGTCTCACTCAGTTACACACCTAAATATCGCGGCGTTATAGCACACGTGAATTCTTCTCTTCACAGCCAGACTTTCAACTCCGTTTAACTGCGCTTAATAATTCTGATACCTCAATTCAACTCTTTTGCTCCCAAGCTCATGTCATGGCAGGCTGGCGTCTCGAAATTCGACTGACTCGTCGCCATTTCTTCTCAGTGATCTTCGGCTACTATCTCAGGAGACTCCCTCAATTTTTCTTTCAGTCAAGTCAAAGTCAAAGCCACATTGCGACTGACCGTCAGTCAGTCAGTCTTGGTGTCTAGCCCAATCTGGAGCTTTTTTTTTTATTGCTAGTGGGGTGCGACTAAGTCCCTTGTACCAGCCCCAGATGATAGGTGAGGGTGATTGTGGAGCAGTTGGTGGAATGAAGATTGGCAGGGGAAACCGAAGTACTCGGAGAAAACCTGCCCCAGCGCCACTTTGTCCACTACAAATCCCACTTGACAAGACCCGGGATCGAACCCGGGCCGCCGCGGTGGGAAGCCAGCGACTAACCGCTTGAGTTATGGCGCGGCCAATCTGGGGCTTATGACCAGATATTTATTAGTGTTTGACAGTTTCGGTCTTGTTTGACGAGAGGAAGGGTCTGTCATTTGTCAGGGTCATTGTCTGCAGTAGTAAGTCATTTGTCATAATGTAAAGGATATTTACATTTTACATGTTAAACAAATTAATAAATGTATATAAAATATATACAGGGCCTCTGTCTGTCCAGGCTCAGTACAGCAGATTATGCCCTATTTATAGTAGCTTCCGCTACAACGGCAGTCTAGTCACTTGAACGGTCGTATGCTTCACCGCCGCCAAGTTTAAGCCTCTTATACTTTCTATGTCGGGCTTCTCTTTGTCCAATATTGTGAACATTTTCGTTATCATGATTTTGTATGACCCGCTTGTTGCTTGCATAATCTTGTTATACTCATATACGTACAGAATTTTTAAATCTCCTTTCAGCTGCCTGAGATCCTTATATAACCTCGAGGCGACCACAACAGAAAACAACGTCTCCTAACAATTCTTCTATTGTTATAGATGTGTGTTTACTTCGACGTTGCACAGTAACGATAGTTGTATTGTTTCATTCGTATTCATTTCCGCTAGAACCTGTTTACAAATACCGTGGCTGCTCTATTCCGACTTTCAGGCGTCATTTCGCAATATGATGAGTGACTGAGGCTTGCCGATGTAAGAAAAGGCTATGTAATATTTAATGAGTAAACGATGTAAGTATAGAAACACACCTGATTCATATGGCATGTTAAATTCACGCCTCCCTACTTAGACGATGGACGACCTGGCTATTTGAAATTTGTCTCATGTGCGCAGTTATAATGCAACACAGACTTCAGCACCCACATATGACACTCATCCCCGAAAATCTGGCACCGACCGTGACGTTGGTAAATTGTAAACGTTATCTTCACCTGACCTCAGAAGCAAAAATGTAATGGCGACAGATCTGCAGACCTTCATAGTAAGAGAGTTTGTCCACTGCCTCCTATAAAATTGCGGTGACAAATATTCACAGCTGCAGCTGCAGCATCTGCTTGTCCCTCAGCTGAGGCCATAAGAAGAAACTCCATCATGTCCAGATACATCATAATGGTGCGGGAGTTCTACAGAAAATGAGGGGAAAGATATTTTTATCTCATAGTGAGCGAAAAGACGTCCATTTCTGGTAAGTGCCATATGACATTCACACTGATAGTGAGGATTCTCGGTCCGTCAGACTTCGCAGATGCAACTTTTGTGCACAAGACCAGCAACCGGGCCATCTGAAGCCATGTCAACGGCCTACTTAATGTATCACTTTGGTTAGTAGTATAGACACTACAGCGTCTGGAATGTTCAAGGTGATAACCTTAATATTCAGAGATACTGGGTTTTCGGACTTTGTCCATCGTCCGCATTCTAAATAACTAAGAAAAAATACGTTTCGGAAACTGGATCTGTTTCCGTCCTCAGGTGAAGGAATACACCTACTCTGTTGGGTTCCTTAGAAAGAGCTAGCCTCAATCACTAGACTTTCTAAGGGACCCAACGGAGTAGGTGTCTTCCCTCTCCTGAGGACGGAAATAGATCCAGTTTCTGAAACGTCGTGTTTTTTCTTAGTTATTTAGAATCGGGACGATGGTCAAAGTCCAAAAACCCAGTATCTGTGTGTACACCATTGTCAGAACCCTATAGAACCTTAATATAGCCTGAATTCCCGAATGAATCTTCATGAAACTTGGTATGCATGTCATGCCATCTCAACTGTGTACCCCATAAATCAGTCACAGCCTCCCGCACTCTATCGTTTTAGTTACTTCATTACGCACAGCTGCTACAGTTTTCTTCCTACTTGCCGCATCAGACGCTGACATGACTGTGAAAGGAAATATGTGATTAATGCTTCCCAGAACTTCTTGTTTCTCCTGTTTTCGACGGTGGCATTTACGCCGCGCAGAT